CAAAATACACATAATTATAAAACATTATGATACAGTTGAGACCAAACATACCAGTCCTAACAATAAATGAAGATAGAACAAACAAAAATATATATACTCACATGACTATAACATAGCAACCACCTTTATGAAACAAAAACTACAGGAGATGCAAGGAGATACATAGAAACACACTAATAATAGGAGACTCTCAGTGGTATATTAGACAGATTATGTAAACCCAAAATAAGGAGATAGAAGGTCCAAACAGCATAATCAATAGGGTAAATCTCAAGAATATTTATCAAACTCTACACTCTGATACTAGAGAATACATATTCTTCTCAAGAGCTTACAGTACATTCACCAAAAATAATCATATATTAGGTCACAAAGAAAACATCAGTAACTTCCATAAAATAGAAATATTACAAACAATACTCTGATCATAATGCAATCAAACTAGAATTTACTAACAAAAACAAAAAACAGAAAGGCCCTTCCAGCTAGAAATTTAAAAACTTCCTATTAAACAACTCCTGGCTATTCTATAACAAATTATAGATTTTAAAAGAAATAATGACAATGAAAGCACTATATATCAGATTCTGTGGGATGCATTTAAAGCAGTGATCAAAGGAAAATTCATTGCACTAAACATATTTCTCAATAAAAATGAAAGAATAAAAATAAATAAATTTAGGGGCCAGCCCGGTGGTTATGCTTAAGTTCGCACGCTCTGCTTTGGTGGCCCAGGGTTCACAGGTTTGGATCCCGGGTGCAGATCTATGCACTGCTTATCAAGCCATGCTGTGGCAAGCATCCCACATATAAAGTAGAGGAAGATGGGCACAGATGTTAGCCTAGGGCCAATCTTCCTCAGCAAAAAGAGGAGGATTGGCAATGGATATTAGCTCAGGACTAATCTTCCTCAATCAATCAACCAATCAATCAATCCATATGTTCCCAAAGTAAAAAACAACAACTAAAGAATAACAAGGTAAACCAAAAGAAAGCAAAAGGAAGGAAATAACAAAGAGAAAAGTAGAGGGCCGGCCCGGTGGCTTAGCGGTTAAGTGACGTGCTCTGCTACTGGCGGCCCGGGTTCGGATCTGACACACCGCTCCTCCGGCCATGATGAGGCCACGTCCCACATACAGCAATTAGAAGGATGTGCAACTATGCCATACAACTATCTACTGGGGTTTTGGGGGGAAAAAAAAAGAGGAGGATTGGCAATAGATGTTAGCTCAGAGCCGGTCTTCCTCAGCAAAAACAGGAGGATTAGCATGGATGTTAGCTCAGGGCTGATCTTCCTCATACACACACACAAAAAAGATAAAAGTAGAGGAAGAGAATAGAAAACTAGATCTAAGTAATAAATCAAAATTCTATAGTGTTTGAAAAACTTAAAATACATAAACCACTATATAACTTGACTAAGAAAAAAGGGAGAAAGCACAAATATACAAAATAAGAAATGGTAAGGGAGAGAGAACCATTGAAATAGAAGAAAAAATGTTAACTCATAAGAGATTACTTTGCAGCCCTCTATCTAATAAACTTGAAAACTCAGATGAAAGGGATACTTTGCTAGAAAAATACATATTACTAAAATTGACCCCACTGGAGTTAGAAAGCTTAAACAGGCCAATTTCCATAGAAGAAATATAAAAAGTTATTAAGGAAATATCCCATGAAAAAGCATCAGGCCCAGAGGGTTTCACAGGGGAATTCTACCAAACCTTCATCAGATAGCCTCAATGCTCTATATTATTCTAGAGCTGGCATATTACCAGAAGGATCAAGCCTACAGGAATATCAACCTTTCGCGAAAGATGAACCAGCCAAGGAGACTGAGAAGGAACATCCTCTGAGGAAGGAGGGAACTCTGGAGCATAGAATCTCACAAACTAAAGGAGGATGTTTCAAGAAAGGAGGTTTTCACGGCAAAAGCTGCACAGAGATCCAATAAAAGGAATGAAACATCTGAACACACGGCTTGAGGACTAAGTGGAAGGTAAGGAGACTGAGCAAGCCAATTATTAACAACTCCTTCTAACAGTTTGGCTGGAAGGGGAGGAGAGAAACTGGGTTGTGGCTGGGTGATAGGGGTCTAGGGAGGAGGTTCTGAAATGGAGCAACCTGAGTAGGTTTATTGTTGATAAGGAGGGACTATGTGCCTGGCATTGGGGATATAACGTAGAATGAGTCATAGTAGAGATGAGTCTAGGTCCAACTAGTTCAATGTTTCCTTTGATTCCTTAATATCGACTCCAAATAATGTAGTCAATTTCTCTCAATATTCCACATTTACATATTACCTTCTTCAATGGTGCAAATTGAATTTTTATCAGCAGTCAGATTTTATGTTAACTTAGCAAACATTACTAAGTGCCAGTGACTGCTCAGGGCAAGACATACAAAGTTGGAGAGACCTAGTTTCTTTCCTGGAGAAGCTAAGTCTTCAGTGGATAAGAAGGCTCACAGAAGCGCCAGTACTTCCTGGTTCACTAAGTCTCTTGCAAATTCTATCTCATTTAATCCTCCCAACAAGCCTTTGAGGAAGCTGAAATCACCTCCATTTTATGGGTGAAGAAACCAAACCTCAAAAAGGTTAACCAATCCACCCCAAGTGACAGACTCGACACTAGAATCCAGGTTCTCAGACTCCAATACTAGCACTTCCCCACCTTGCAACTCCTACCTTCGGAAGGATGACCCTGAAGAGAATGCCTGGTCATTTGTGCAGATGCTCAGTCAGCAGAATTGGACGTTAGCATGCTGGAGAATAGTTGACATCCTGCATCACATCTAAAATTGCCATCTAAATTTGGAAAGTAGCTTTTACGCCCTCTAGCTGCCTGGATATTCTGTAGCCTGCAGGGCACAAAGACTGTTTTATTTATCACAATCCCAAGGACTGTGTTTTATTTAGCTTTATACCTGTCCCCCTCAGCTTTATATATAGTGCCTTTAAATATTTTCTCCTTCAATATTTGTACGGATTCATTCATTCACCTAATTTCATAACTCGGATATCGTTTTGAATATAATCTAGGGCAGCAATATAAAACTTCAAATTTAAGAAGTGAAAATGTGGAGGCAAAGGGTATCACAGAATAGCTTTTTGAACTCAGAAATTTGCTTTAAAAAAATCAAGATGCTTTTGTGCTCTGAAATTTTTACAAGATGGCAATAATTACCAACAAGACAAAGTATGTTTAAATGTACTGTCCATAAATATCTCATTTGACTCTTAAAACCACCCCGTAAGACAGGTAAGGCAAATGCTCTATAATTCCGTTTACACAGTTGAGGAAATAGTCCCTTAGAAAAGGTAAGTGACTTGTTCAAGGTAATCAGATATACTGGAATTCAAGGAAGTCCTGACTTCGGATCTCCTGTTCAGTCTTTGATGCCTTTGCCTTACCTAGGTAAACTGGTAAAGGTGGAAAAAAAGATGAGAAACTGAATTGCTATCAACAAATAAGAAAAAAAAGTGCTAGCTAGAGAAAGATACCTGTATTGTATTGGAGAGAAGAACATAAATGGCCCCAAACTCTTCCTATAGAAATCCTTTAACTGTTGCCTTTTGCTAGGGTGTGAAAAGGGACACTCACAGATTGTTGGTGGGAGTGCAAAACGGCACATCCTTTCCAGAGGGAAACTGAGCAATTCACATTTAGAAAAAACAAACCCAACAATTCTATCATCTAGGAATGTATACTAAGGAAGTAATCGCGGATGTGCAGATTTTATATTTCTCCAACAATATGTTTAAGTAGTGAAAAACTGGGAATAACCAATTAAATAAATTACTACAGACATATAATGGCATGCTATATAGTCATGAAAAAAATGGTTACCAAAGAGAATCCACTTTAGAAAAATCATGCATTCATCTCTGCATAAAAAAGATTGGAGGTGTATACCCAGTGTAACCATGTTCACAATGGTTACTTGGAATGGTGTAACAGTGTATCTTCTTCATTGTGGTTTTGTATATTTTAGAAATTTTGTATATAAATGTGTTACTAAATGTTTCTATATATACATGTTTCTAATAAGAGGTATTAAAGGCTTCTGGGGGTGTGTGAAACAGCGGGGCTTTCAAAAGAACATTTTTGTAGCCATTTTAAAAATACCACTAAAAATAAAACATTATTATATCATTACCATTAAAATACCATTGAAAAATAAAGCATTGATTACGAACTCACACCAAAACCTTTTCTTTTCAGTTCCAGTCTCTCATTCATATCAGTTCGAATTCAGGAAAATGCTAAAAAGGTTGCCAGGTCAGAAGTCTGAGACACCTTGATTTCTACCTGCAGTTTTTACTTCGTTCCAGAAAAGAAAAGCAATCACCTAAGAGGCACCTCGAAAAGCATCTCGGCAGGAAAACATTTGGGAGGGTAAGTTTCTCTCCCATTTCTTTCCCTCCCGACACACCGACAGGACAATCCTGACAGTGACTGGCCCAGTTTCCTAATACACCCTAAAGAAGCACAGGAGATGCGCCCATTTTCAGTATACGTTTCTAAAAAGACAAGTTTTACTTTGCAATGCGGGATAAAGAGCAGCCTTCACTACTCATTCTGGATGTTACCCAAGGAAGATGCCGCCGCGCGGCGGAAAGCCTCCGGAGAAGGACAAAGCGCGGGGCTCCTCGGCTCGGGTCCCGCAGGCGACGCGTCCGGGGCCGCCTCAGGGACAAGGGCACCGTCCCCGGACACCGCCCCCCGTCCTCAGGACAGACGCTCCCAACCGCCGGGGCCGCAGCCTGCCCGACGACGGGGAAGGATCGGGGCCGCGGCAGCAGGTGTCCAGGTCGCCGCGCCTAAGAGAAGACACCGGCCCAGTGGCCTGAAGCAGTGGCAGGGGAGCGGTTCCCCGGGAGCCCGAGGCGGGCCGCCGCATCCTCCCCGCCACCCCAAGAACCGCCCCACCCGGGCCACGGACACGCCTTCCCGCGGGCCGGGGCCTCCCTGCCCCGCCCGCCCCCCAGGGCCGCTCACCCGGCCCCGAAGTCCCCGCCGCCGCCGCCGCCGCCGCCGGCCCCTCGGGCCTCGCCCCTCACTCGGCCACCTCCTCCCCCTGCAGCGGCACCATAGCTACCTCTACCGGGCCGCGGGACCCGGAACCACTTCCTTCCGGAACCGCCTCGTCCCGCCCCCGCCCGGGACCCGCCCTCTGCCCGCGGCCTCGCGCTGAGCCCGCTCTACCGCCGACCTCTGCTCTCAACTCTTTCCCCGCGAGGGTGCCCCGCCCCGGCTGCTCTGGCCAGAGCGCCTGCGCCCTCTGCCTGCCGTTCCCACCTCTGCAGCTCTGTCCAGAGCGCGTGCGCCGCCTACCGCCCGCACCCCCCGCCCGCGGGGAAGGAAGAACTGCCCTGGGCGTCCAGGTCTGTCCAGGTCTAGGGATCCCGAGGGTCGAGGGTCAGGAGTTGGAGTTCACCTCTCAGTCAGGGGCAGGAGCCTGGTCCCATGAGCCTTCCAGCCTTGTACACAGGAGGCAAAGGTGGAGGAGCAGATGAGCCTTGGCCTTCCAGCCCCTGGCCTGACCCTCAAGGCTCTTCCAGAGCCAGCCTACCTGAACCTGCCCCGCTGTGGCCTCTTTCCCTGCCTACTCAATCACTAACCATTCCCTATGGCCTCAGAGTAAGCTTCTAACCAGGAAACAAAACCTCCCCTCTGGACCTTCCAAATAAGTTAATGGTACCAACATTTCTCCACCGTCCACTTCAAAATATTGACTCATTTTGGTCTGCTCTCTTGATTTCTCTCCTCCCACACTCCATGCACCAGCCCCAAAGGTAGTATGTCCTCACTCTTCGAGCTTTCTCACTTGACACTTGGATGTTCTTTTTACCCTTTGCAAGGTTTCTCTTTCAGAGTCCGCCCCATCTGGTAGTACCCTCCCTTGTCACTGTCATCTACTGACTGCATTAGTTCTCCTCTCCATCTGAATTACTGCTATCATCCTGATGACTCCAACATCCATCACTGAGCCAAGTTTCCTTAACCCAGTCAACGCAGATGACTTTACCTCTATTCTATTTTATCTATCCATTCCCAGGCACATATTCTAGAAAATCTCGACATCTATCACTCTGTACTGCTCCATCTCTAAAACCTTAAGTTTACAAATCCCATTTATTTGGACTCACAATTCTCATCCTTGCAGTCCTATCTCTCTCTGAGTCCCAACATACTTGTTCTTCAAAGACCACAGAGTTCTCACATCCCTTGAACCTTCTACCTGACTTAAACCCATGGCCTTTAACTTCAGCCACTCTTGTAAGCAGAGCCCCTTGAATTGCCCTTTGACACATCCTACCATCAAACCACCACCTTAAAACACTCCAGCTATCTGCATTTTCCATTCCTACATCTGTGTTTCCAAGCACTGCTTGGGAGGTAAAGGCCACACAACTATAATAGAATGACACCACTACAAATTTACGGACACCCACCTCAGTGGAGAGCCTTGGTGCCTCCTAGGAAGTCTTTTCTATGACCTCTCTCATTTCCAGCAATTGCTGTTACTAACCCTTACTACTCTCTTTAAGCCCCATACCAATGACCATTTTCCTCTCTTCATACATGATTTTGCTTCCTGTTTTGCAGAGAAAATTCCTCAGCAGAGTATGTAAGGCCTTTCATTATCTGGTTCATACTTAGCTCTCTAGCCTCTCTCCTGCTCATACTCAATGCTCTGGCCATACGGAAACGTTTGCAATTTAAGCTGAATACTGCTTTTGCTTCCACTCCATTGCACATATTGTCCCTTCTGTTTGGTTAAGAGGTGTGAGACCCTTTTATCTGCATATATGGCTTCAGTTCAGGAAGATTTTCTTCCATTCTACCTTCAAGAATCGTTTCTGCTCCATTTGTTCTGGTCTCTCTTTTAGGAAGAGCAATTATCTGTGGTAGATCTCTGTTTTATTATTTTCATCTCTATCCTTTTTTGGCATTCTGGCAGACCTGAAATTTGCTTTCAGTATTCCTGACAAGGTTTCCCAAAGCATTATTTCTGCCTCCGTTTTTGCTTAAATTCTGTCATTGAGATTTTAGTTCCCTGGCATTGTTTCCTTCTCTCTCTCTTTCTCTTTCCCTCTCTCTCTCTCTTTCTCTCTCTCTCTCTCTCTCCCCCTCTCTCTGAAGTCATCCTGTTGAGTTTCCATCTCATCCTTTCATTTCCTTATGAATTTCTGTTCTGGTTTTATAGAAGGCCTATCTTCTTGCAAAAGGATGCTAAACTGGTCATAAAATTTTTCTTTTGGATTCAGTAGTCAGTCATTTTCAGAACTATGTTCTTCTTTCTCTTCCAAGATTAGTTTTTGTGTTTCTCTCTCTCTCGATATATATATATATTTTTTTTTTCACTCATCTTTGAACAAGGTGATCTTTGTTCATACTTGTTGGTTAACAGACAGCACAATTAGATGGCCCTCACCCTATTTTCTGTCTCCTTGTGTGGACAGAGAGGTGAACTAGTTTGAACAAGGTCACACAGCTATTGGTGTGTATATGAATAGCACACACACATACACACACACACACACACACACACACACACACAGACAATGGCTTTCAAACTTAAGAGAAAAGGAATATTATCTGCCTTTCCATTTATTTTATTTTTCTTTGGTTTTCATGCAAAGCCAAATCTGCTGTCGAATGCCAAGTATGCTTCATACAAGGATTCTGTATTCATAAGAGTAAGTTATGCTACAATAAGAATCCTAAATAGTAATAAGTGGCTTGTAATCAGTGGCTTATAACAACAAATGTTTATTTCTCACTTACATTTCAAGTCCATCATGGGTCAGCTTTGGTTCTTCTGTCTGGGACCGAGGCTGAAGGAATAGACCCTAGCAGAGACATTACTGGTGTCATATCAGAAGAAAAGGAGCAAGAATGGGACCATGTACCAGATCTTAAAGCGTCTGCTTTAATGCTGAATCAGAAACTCTAGAGGTGGGGCCCAGCACAGTTTCAGCCCTCCAGAGGATTCTGAAGCACGTTCAAGTTTGAGAACCACTTCTCTATGGCTTGTATTCCCTGTAACCCAGAAGATGGACAAAGAGGCTTGATGAAATTCAGAGTAGTTTTTAAACTACTAATTCTTAAACCAGAAAAAAAATATTTCAAATTAAAAAAGAGAGGGAATCAGGCTTCAATATAGACTTAGACCAAGCGCCCACTGTCATTGTCATTTTTTTGGAGGGACACTGCTTGTGGGGAAACCTGCCAGCTACCTGATGTGTATCTCCAGCCGTCCTTCTGGATAGCTTTTTTTTTTTTTTAATAATTTTATTTATTTATTTATTTTCCCCCCAAAGCCCCAGTAGATAGTTGTATGTCATAGCTGCACGTCCTTCTAGTT